GTTGTTTCCCATAGTTTCTCAACCTTCTCAAATGCATTTGTTAAAGCATTGTGTTAAAGCATTGTTAAAGCATTCCAAGATCATCCACTGTAAATTCACTGCACCCCACTTTGGACTACCTTGAGTTATTGACTAGCAAGGAAGTGGCACAGAGCCCTGACATACTGAGATCCTTGCATGGGCAGATGCATTGCCTGTGGTGACCACTGGTGATGTTCACACCAGTTATACCAAGACAGGCTGCTGTCTTGGTATAACTGCTCTTTGCAGTAAAGAATTGCACCACCTCGTGTGTGTATACACAGTTCCAGCTCTTCCCTGGGATGGCACCTGGTTTTATTTCCAAAGCAGCTGTTATGGTTTATACTTAAATGTCCCCCAAGAGGCTCATGCACTCATATATGTAACTTTTTGAAGCTGATAGGGTTACGTGGAGTAATAGCCGACTTGTTGTCAGGAGGTAGGATCTGGTCAGAAGAGGTAAATCACTGAGAATGTGATCTGGGAGGGTCTGTCTCCCTTCCTAGCTCTTCCTTTTATGCTCTGCTTCCAGATCACCATTATATGAGAAGCTTTTCTTCTTCTATGCCCCTCTCCAATGCTGTCCTGCTTTGGAACTTCCAACTATGAACTGAAATGTGAGGCAAAATAAACCTGTTCTCCTTTAAGTTGCACAGGTCAGGTATTTAGTTCCAGTAACGGGGAAAGTAAGGCAGATTTTGGTACTAAGAGTGGGGCCATTACTGTGACTGTTACCTGACTATGTGGTTCAGGGGGCTTTAGAACTTATTTGTTAGAGAAGTTTGGAAAGATTTGGAGACACCAGATAATGGAGCCCAAGAATGCTGTAAACAAGCCTGATGGGAGTGAGAGCTCAGATCATGATGCCAACAGAAAGGCAAACTATAAAGACTAAGCCCAGGAGGTTTCTGTTGGGAACAAGAACTGCTTTAGCAATTGGACTCCAGACCATGTGTGCTATAATAAACTTGTCTACATTTTGCTTCTGTTCTGAGAATTTGTAGGAGACTGAGATTAAGGGTGGCAGATTAATTAATTTGGCAGAGCCAATGCCAAGGAAGTTCAATGTTGAAGTTGAGTTATGGGTACTGTTGGGGGCATTTAGCAAGCTCTACATTGAGAATCAAAGAAAATAGCACAGCTGATTGATTTTAACTTTTGAGTTGCACCAAAAAGGAAGCTCTCACAAAGTTGGAGCAAAGAAGAATTTGGTTTCTGAAAAATTTAGCAATAAAAGAAAACAAGTTTTACATTAGGACAATACAAAAGATCCCTTGCGGGTATGTCAGGAATCCAAAAGATTCCATATTTTGCAGGTTTGAATGTGTAAAAGTAAAATACTTGCTTTGAGAAGACAGCCTCAGAGCACATTGCCAGAGAAATACCACCTAGGAAATTGGTTCTCCCAAATTTGATTCACAGTGCTCAGCTACCCATGCACTCAGAGGCCCCTACAGCCACGCTCCAAGGGGGCGTGATTAGTGCTCAGGTTGGCAGTAGATCTTAATGTCATCAAGGTAGAGCTGGTTTTACAGGGACCACAGAATGTAAGAGTTATAGGGTCAAGGTGTCTGCCACTCAAATTTCAGAAGAAAGCCTGGGAGGCCTGGCAGTGTGCCTCTGAAAGGGTGGTTCATGAAGCTGTGAGAGTAAAGACAAAGTTCAGGAGACCCCAGGAAGTTGGAGAAGCTAGAAACATGGGATGTCTGAGGAAAGCTATAAGCTGTAAGCAAAAATAGCCCAAGAAAGAAGTCAGAGGGCTACAACCACCAGAAATGCTGTAAGAGAGAGAAGTGCCCAAGCCCTTTAGAATTCACATCTTGCCATAATAGCCCTGGATGCTGGACAGGGAGCTACAGGATTTAACATTTGCCCTGCTAGATTTTAGGCTTGCTTTTGTTCCATTAGTTTCCACTGCCTTGATCCTTCTTTTTGGAATGGGAATATTTATTTACATGTGCTATTGTATGTTTGCAGTGTTGAACTTTCTTTTGATCTTTACAGGGGCTTGCAGGTAAGAGCCTTGAGTCTCAGAGGAGACTTCGAACTTGAACTTTTAGAGATGCTGAAACTGTTAAGGCTTGAGGATTCTTAGAAATGAACTAAATGCATTTTGTATAAAGACATGTGCAAGAATTTGGCAGGGGGCTAGAGCAGAAAGTTATGGCTTATATTAGACGTCTCCCAACAGTCTTACATGTTCATGGCGGGAGGGGGGTACCTTTTGGAGGTGATTGAATTATGGAGGTATTTTGGCTGACTTGCTGTCAGGAGGTGGGGTCTGGTCAGAAGAGGTAGATTACTGGAGGTGTAAATGGGGAAGGTATATCTCTTTTCCCGGTTCTTCCTTTCACATTCGGCTTCCCTGCCACCATTGGGTGAGCAGCATTTCCTCTGCCATGACCCTCTGCTATGCTGTCTGCCTTGGAGCCCAGTGACTATGGACTGAAACATGAGCCAAAATAAACCTCTTCTTCTTTAAGTTGAAGGTGTGGAGCATCAACAAAGAGGAAAGTAAAAACAATAAGGATACAAGATTTCAAAGAGGGTATCCCATTGCATTCCAGGATCCTTCAGGTCAACATTTCTTAAATTTTTCCTGTCATTGGGGGCTCTTTGGCTGGCTGCTGAAAACCATGAACCTCTTCTTGGAATAAGTTTTTTAGATTTACAAAATAAAATATATCAGTTTTTAAAAAGGAAACCAATTACAGTGGTACCTTGGTTCACAAACTCAATTGTCTCCATAATTCTGCACTGGATGAGAACTGAATCAAATTTCCTAAGGTCACCATTGAACCTAGCCATTGAATTTGATTTATTTCTCATGCAATTTGGTTTGCAACCAGAATCATGGAAAGAATCAAGTTCATGAGCTGAGGTACCACTGCATATATTAAAATGTAGTAGGGAGATATTTTTAAAAATTGTACTATCATAACATATAAACTTTCCTATTGATATACAAGATCTAGCTGAGGGTTCTGTCTAGCAGCTGCTATAATTTGAGATACTTGTAACAAGTGTAATATTATATAAAAACCTTAAAGTTTCTATATGTGATCAGATATTAAATCAACCAGCATCATGCATCATCTCCACAAGATTATAGGAATTAGCTTGTTAATGTAGTTGTTAGTAGGGTCTGTATTTAATTCACTTGTTAGGATTCTAGGTCTTTTACTACAAGTCTACCTAGTTTGTACCATAAACCACGCGGTAAGGCACAGCCTCAGTGGTAGCATCTCTGCCTAAACCTCACTTGCTGTGATGTTCCTGGCAAGCACAGGCCAGCCTAAAACCTTCACCACATCAGGCAACGATACTTGAGGGCCCTGTCCAGTGTGAGTTGGGCCATCCCTTCCTCACTCTGTCCTCTCCTGTCCTAGTCCTGCTGCCCAATGCCATGTCTAATGCCTTGCTACTTTGTAACCTGGAAACTTAGAAAAGCATTACCTTCTGAAATCTTAAGGGTTGTAAGGCAAACTGTCTCCTTGCTAAACCTCTTCCCCAAGGATAGGCACGAGAAACTCTGAAACCTGGGCAGAGTTGGCTGTCCTTTCCAAAGTGCAGGTAACTCCCCAAGAACAAGTTGGGTGTAACTGAAAGCTATGGGGTCTAAAGAGGTTGGAAAGTTGAATAGTCTCAAGGGCCTGCATGAAAGAGAGCATCATCCAGCAATACTTGGAATATTCTAGAAACCACAGACTGCTGGTGGAGGCCAAAGTTACTACTCTGGGATCTGGGGTGGAAGCAGGTTCTATAGGACATACTTTCCTTTTAAGAATGATGAAAAATTCCTCCATTTTTGAGCCGTTCTCTTGACAATTCTACAAAATTGCATGTAAATTTATGTATGTATTTTAATGTTATAGTTTTGCAAATAATATTCTGCAAATTTGGTTTTGAATTGTAAATGTCATATATTCTTTTTGAGGAGTTTAATGTTTTAGTATATTTTGTTAAGAAGGAAAATGTACATTTTAGAATGTTTTCATGAATAGACTTAATGCTCTGAAAATTAAAAACAAAAAAAAACTTATAATTTTTGACACTCATCCCGTCACTATGATTTGCTTACACTCAATGGAGGGAAATGCTAATGTCAGAGGTTGGTAAAAATAAAAATGTAAAATTTTTATCATTCAAATTCAGGACACCTTCGATTTCAATCTCTCGAGTTGATTCTTGAACCCAGTTTTTGCAATTTTTCTAAGTAGACCTGGAAATTTGGAGCTAGGAAAGAACAGCAAAAGTCTGATCTGAGCATCACTTGTAAGACATCTATTCTTTACTGCTGAGGGTTTTCTCTCAGCATCAGAACACCTGGAAAGCAAGTTTAAAATTTCCAGCATGGCTTCTCCTACCTTGTCATTCTGGGGAAGAAAAAAAGAGAAACAAAATTCCAAGCGAAAAAAAAAAAGACATATCTAATGTTATGGAATTGTTACGATCCACTGAGGCAATGGTTGTTTTGTAATTTGCAGAGCACTATCAAAGTGTGTGCTACCAGGTCTTTGAGGATCCAGAAAGCATGCCGTTCCAGTCTCCAGGAGTTGGGCACGCGGTAGGGACTCCATAAACCCTTGCACAATGAATGAAGTGTGCATTTGCACAGGGACCCACAGCTTGGCAAGAACAGATTACCTCAGGCAATGAGTCAGTGCACAAGCTGCACCTTTCTTCGCCTACAGGTAACAGCAATAGCCCTTCTCGCTCCTCGCAGCGCGACGACCACAGATGAAGCGCCTCTCCTCTGCAGCCCGGCCCGGAGCTACTCCGCGCCTCCGGGGTCTCGCTTCCAGGTAGGTGAAGGCTGCGGCGCGGCCGGGTCTGGCCGGGCGGAGGAAGCACAGGACGCACAGCGGTGGGGAAGGTGCAGGCGGCGGGCGCGCAAGGAGGGGCGAGGGGTGGGGAGGGGCGGGGCCGGCGTCCTCGTCACCCGATAAAAGCCTGCGAGTCTCCAGAGAACAACGGGCTCATTCAGCGCTCGGGAGCTGCCGGCGAGGGGGAGCGGCGTGGAGGAGAGCGCGACCGGTCCCGGGGGTGGGGCCGCGCGCAGTGGCGAGGGGAGGCGAAGGTGGCCGCGGCCGCAGCAGCGCGGCCAGCAGTCTCGGACCAGACCGGGGCCGGGACGGGCACTGGGACTCGGCTCGGAGCGCAGGGCGGCCGCCACAGGGCCCATGGCGGCCTCGGGGCAGTTGTTCCTGCTCTACCTGTCGGCGGTGCTTTTGCCTCGGCTCGGGGCAGCCTTCAACTTGGACACCCGTGAGGACAATGTGATCCGGAAATCTGGGGACCCTGGCAGCCTCTTCGGCTTCTCGCTGGCCATGCACTGGCAGCTGCACCCCGAGGACAAGCGGCTGTGAGTTCCCCGAGTCTTCCTGCGCCCACCGCGCTCTCCCCCGGACGAGGGCGCGCTTTGCTCCAGATCGCGCGTTCAGAGCCCTCTGACCCAGTCCCCTGTCCCCTGCCGCCTGCCCCCTGCCCTCTATCCCGCCTGAGCTCCGCGGATCCTGGGAAGAGCGGCGCCCACAGCCTGCGCTTTGCACATACCGCGCGCAAACCTCCCCCGCAGAGCCCCGAAACCGCAGCCCCAGGGCTTACCCGGGGAGAGTTTACTTTTTTTTTTTTTTTTTTTTAAATGACATGCCTTCCACCAGCTCTTCCCTCCGGGCATGTTTGCCGGGACCCCAGCAGGTGGCATGCTTTGCCTCTAGACCTTCACCTATGTTTGGAGCGGGGGGTGGGGTGGGGTGTGGGATGTAGGGTCGCCGCTGCGCTGCGGTAAGGTTGCTGGGAGAGTTCCAGGAAGATCCAGACTTGCCCTAAAGTCGCGGACTCGCGCACTCTGCGAAAGTTAGAAAATCACTTTTTGTTGTGTCCTGCGTGACTTTTCCTACAGGGCGGGTGCTCCCATAGGAAATACTTTTACATGCTTTTTTCCCTTCTCCTTTAAATGCAATTCAGCAAGCACCTGTTTTTGCAGGATCAGATCAGCTGAGAAAGCATGTCTGAGTAGAGTGCCTGGTCCCCTGCCCAGCCCCCTAGTCCCTTGGCGGCACCGGAGAACCGCCGGGCGCCTGCTTTGGGCGGGCTCAGCCAAGGGGTTAAGGCAAAATGTCCGATCTGAGGCTGGGACTTGACAAACAAGGTTCGGAAGTGACAACCCCCCACCAGCGCGGTGCTCCTCCCAGGAGAAAGTGGAGACTGGTGGCGCGCAGTGCCTCTGCCTTGCTTTTTAAACAGTGTTTGGTTCCCACATACTCGAACTCTTCAGATTGGAGAGAGTATTCTGAAGCTTAGTCGTTTTAATCGCCATGGGGGCTGCAATTTTGACCTGTGCTACCGAAAAACGCTAACAACAAAAGATCCCAGGCCTTTAGTTGAACTCAAGTCCTTCCAGGACCAATAGACCGGAGAAAGCAAAGTGCACAGTAGAGAGGAGACTTTGTGTGAAGAAGCCTGAGAGATTTTGAAGCTAGACGATACTGTAAATTGAGCGATTAGTAGCTTTGGAATTTGTGAACATTGCAGGACCCTGGGTGTAAGATTCACCCGTCAGGTTTGTCTAATAACACTAGCTAGGTGAAGCACAGAAATTAGCTTGGGGGCGGGGTGGAGGGCTGGGGAGGCAGGTGGTCTGAGTTTGCCGGCCTGGCCAGCCTGCTTACTCATTCTTTATCTCTGAAATAATCGTTATGCCATAAATCTGAAATGAAAGGTGGTTTCGCTAACTCAGTTAATGGACGATGTTTAGTGTCTCGAAATACAGCAGTGTGTAGATGCATTTCCACCCACACAGAGAATCTTCATTTATTGGTACAGAAGTGATTGTGAGCCCACAGAGGGAATGCGTTCCCCTCTGCATTTTCTCTGCACCAGAGGCCACCCAGACCTTAGCTGCCTTGTATGTGTAGATTTCCAAACAGACTTGTGAAGGGGGCAAGAAATATCCAGGGGATGGGGCTTTGCTATATTCCTTCAGCCAGGAATCTGACTCGAAGGTGAGCAGTATGCCTGCTAAAACTTGTTGCCACTGCTGGGCTGATCCGGTATGGGAGTCCCAAGGGTATGAAAAGGCCTGTGCTTGGAACCTGATGCCTTCTAGAAAGGACTTAAGGGACAGACTGTGCGGAAAATTGATCAGACCCTGGGATGGGGGAAAGCCCACCTTAAAGGGTCATGGGTCTTTCCCTAGAGCCCGGAGGTGGTAGCCACACTGGTGGGGGAGGGGCTGGTTTCCAGTCCAGTGCTACCCCCGACCCTCTCATAAGATACATTAGCTTCAGAAGTATTCCTGGCTCTCTTCCGGGAATCAGCACTCCTAGTCCATAGCATACCATACACTATCACCTTTGAAAAGGACCTTGGTGTAAATGATAGAGCCAGTAAGATTACAACTTCTGTGGGAACCAAACTCAGGAACAGCTAAATTGGAAATGTTCAGCAAACTGTTGGTAGAGAGATCGTGACTCAAATCTTTCTCAGCCACTGAGTCCAATTTATTTACTTTGAGCTTTAGTTTCTTTACCTGTAAAGTGGAACTACTGCTGCTTAATAGGGTTGTTGAGAGGGTTTAGAGCTAATCTACAGAATGCTCAATGCCTACCTCCCACAGGTACTTACTAAGAAGTAGATGCTACCATAGTGATAATAAATTTAAAAGCAGTAACTGTTCCTATTGTGTGTTGAGTTCTGCACAAGGTGTTTCAAACCTTCTGTAATTCTAAAATGGCTAAGAGTACAGCCAAAGCTTCTTCGTATTTGCATAATTAATATTACAGCCAAAGGTTCTTGATGTTTGTGGTAATTAATATTTTAAACGGTCAAATTTATGAAACCCCAAGCACCTTAATTTTAAGTTGTGTTGATTAGACCTATGAGAAAAGTAAGGAGGTTACTAAGCAAGTTACTTTGAGGCTGGAGTAAAATCTCAGATGTACAGAAATATCAGATAAATGCACTATTAGAACCCACCATAGATTTTTGTAGTTTGAATTTCTGCAATGCCATCTAATAACGTTTTAAATTCCAGTTCAGATTTTGTAGCAGAATAATACTACATCTGAGAACCCCTCAAAACACACTGAGTGTTCTAAAGTTTTTGGAGACTATCAAATTGAAGTAGTTACTGCAAAACTATCCAGGTTTTTAGGCTGTATGTTAAAGTTTCATACTCCAAGAGATGAGTAAGTTGTTAGCTAAGTGGTTGAGATCAGAAACTGAGCACCTTGAGGTCTTTAATTTCTCCTCAGTAGGTAAGAGTGAGTCATTCCCAAAGGTGGAAGGTCTATTGGTGATGACTGGATGTTTGCATCCTGTGAATCATCCCTCACTTCTGGGAAGAAGTGGATAGGTATATGACCACAGGGCAGAACCTGGCAGGAGTAGGAGTCTAGTGGTGGTATTCCCTAGAGTCATTCTGGATCCCTCCAAGCCCTCATTTTCTTGGGAGACTCTCTCTCTCTCTCTCTCTGTCTCTCTCTGATCACCATAGTCTTCCAGAAGATTTCCAGATCCACTGTCACTACAGCTTTTAAGTCACATTTTTTGAATTAGAGATATCGCGCCCAACTGACTCCCAACTGAAGCTGAAAGTTGTGAAATGTCTTATTCAAAGTCTCTTAGGCAGAATCTTAACAGAATCTAGATTTGAAGTTGGTATTTCTGGCTCACACTTATGCCATCTCCAAAAGGAAAAGTCCAAAATCTCCTTCAGACCCGGAGAAATTGGCAAGGATTTGAGTTTTGGAAATGTACTATGTCGTGTTGATTTATTAAACTGCTTCCCATATGGGTCAGGGCTATCTATATAAATAGTGGTGCCTGAGCTCTTTTCCTTATTGACTCTTATTCCAACTGGCAGTAGATCAGACCTGGGTCTGTCCTTCTGAAAAGATCTGTTGAAGTGTGACTCATTAGCCAGGGATCAGAGCTGGGTCCAGGATGTGTGCCTAAGCACTCGCTTCCTTGCATTCATTCACTCAGGGCCATCTTCCAGGAATTGCTGGGTCACCTTGGGTCCCAGGAATAGAGAAAAAACCAAAATAGGCAAGGTGGAAAAAGTCAAAGATTTTGCAAGGAAGAAGACATGGACAACTTTAACACAGGCTGATGTGAGACTATCCAAGTAATGACAGGATTGGAAGAAAAAGATTAAAGTATTTTTAAAGTACAAATAATTTGTCAAGAAAGGTTAAATGTTCATAGGATAGAATTTCATATACAACTAAGAATTATTCTGTATTCTTAGTTGCATAGATTATTTTATGGTTATGTACAAACAGTATATTAAGATTTCATATAAATGTTCATTTTCTAGAGAGAACTGGAACGATGGCACGTGGTTCTCCAAGGACCTTGGCTTAGCATGTTACTATGGCTACTATGGCCAAATAATTCTTTGCATTTCCAAAAGGAACATGAGAAACAAAACAGAAAATACTATTACAGCCTTAGATGACAGGTATATAGGACATAGGGCAGAACTTTTTGCCCTTGGCCAGTTGTATCTGAAATACTGATTAGTGCTAATTTAACCAAATTAAGAAAATACAATCAGCTCTCAAGACTCTATCCTATCCACAGCAGTTTATTCTTCCTTTAAATGTTGATAGCACCTGTGTATGATATTTAACTAGTCTCTGTCATCTTCAGGGGATAATCCAGTGTGTCTCAGGTTGATTAGAGGTTATGTGAGGGCGAGAGTCTTACACTCACTTTTTTGCCTAATAGCACCTAGCATGTGTCTTGCAAATACAATGGAGTCGTATCATACACTCAATTTAACTTGTGAAATCAACTCTTCCTGCTAAGGATAGAGGAGGGAGAAATCCCTGTATTTAACCCTTTGCCCTTGGCCCTGTTCCGGAATTGGTGTCTACTGTCCCCAGGGAAAGGGGAGTTTTAGCTGTAATGCAGAGAACCATACAAAAAGCTCATTCTTGGTTTTTGATTTTAAGGAGTCAGGTCCTAGCTAAGGAATTTTCTTGAGTGATTTTTAAAATTACACTTGACTTTTGCCCAAAAGGCAGGCTTTAGAATTTAACCCCAGAAATACAAGTTGACCTGAATACTCAGGATTTATTGAGCTGGTTGGTTGTCACAGCCAGCTAGAAAAGCATGATTGTAGAATAGAGGTCCCGAAAGTGGCTCCATAAGGGGATGGGAGTCACTTGGAAGTAATCATGTGAAGACATTTGTGGATTGATTATGGAAAGTCTAGTTATTCAAAGATAGTAAAGGAATCTTGGATACAGTTGACTCGAAGTAGAATGATGGGGAGGTTGCTCATCCTTCTCAGCAGACATCCAGAGATCTGAAGAGTCATAGAATGAGGATCTTTTGTTGCCTACCTCCCTG